AGGCACCAGCCACATACACCTAAGGTGGCAGGTTAGAATCCAGCCCCCGCCCACCAAACAACAATGACGGCTGCAACCAAATAATAGCCAGGCGTTCTGGCAGGTGCCTTTGGTCCCAGCTACTTGGGCGGCTGAGGCAGGAGACTCGTTTGAGCCCAGGAGTTGGAGGTTGCTGTGAGCTGTGATGCCACAGCACTCTACCCAGGGGTACAGCTTGAGGCTCTGTCTCAAAATAAATAAATTAATTAATTAAATAAAAAGAAAAAATTGGGGGCGGTGCCTGTGGCTCAGAGGAGTAGGGCACCGGCCCCATATGCCAGAGGCAGTGGGTTCAAACCCAGCCCCAGCAAAAATAAATAATAAAACATTTCAGCCAATTCCTAGTACCAATCATCTAAGCAAGCCCAGTTCTAATATTTGTCAACTGCTTAGCAAGCCTCTGGTGTCGATCAGAGATAAAGATGGGCGAGTGCTTTGTAGTATTCATCTCTGCAGCCTGCTCTTTTGATGAAACGCCGGTCAACCACCAGGAGTACGCGCTCCCTTAGCTGGCTTCTCGGGTGGAGTTTCAAACCAACTCACACGACCACAAGGGGGCGCTCAGGCCTCACGTCCGAACCAGGATGGTGGCTGAGCGTGAAGAGTGTGGCCACCTGGGGGCGCTGCTACTGGGCAGGCACCTCCTGCGTGCCGGGCGCTGATCCAGACATTAGGAATACAGAGATACTCCAGGCAAGCCAGCTGCTAATACTCTGAAGGACACTGGCGGGGAGAGCTAGATCAATTAGGTCAATAGATATAGATCGATTCAGGGTCTAATAAATTCAATGTAGAAAATAGGTTACAGGAGAGTGACCGTGGGGAGGGTACTACTTAGATAAAGCGCGGACACTTCTCTGAGATGAAGGGTAAATGTCACTGAGGATGAGGGCCTCTGGGAGAGGAGAGCCCCAGGTGGAGGAAATGTGGCCTAGGTCCCGCAGGGGAAGCGGGGTGGCTGGGAGGGAGGATGGGGAAGGAGCTGGAGTGAGCAAGGGACAGGCAGGACAGAGACAAAGGCAGGAAAATGACTGACAGAGTGTGGTGCGGGGGTGCGGTGGGGTAGGGTTGCCAAGGGAAAACTGGAAGGTGGTGGTGTGAAGGACCTCCAGAATGGGGTGTTTGATGAAAAAAACAAGGGGAAGGGCAGTGTTCAGGATGTCTGCCTCATGGGTACAAAAAGGAATGGGATATAGGTTCACAGTTATTAGATTTGCAGAAATACAGGAACAATACTCAGAAATTGTTTTTTAAAAAATAACCTTTGGGGGAGGCGTGGTGGCTCACATCTGTAATCCTAGTACTCTAGGAGGCTGAGGAGGGAGGATTGCTTGAGTTCAGGAGTTGGAGACCAGCCTGAGCCAGAGTGAGACCCCCATCTCTAAAAATAGCCAGGCATTGTGGTGGGCACCTGTAGTCCCAGCTACTCAAGAGGCTAAGGCAAGAGAATCACTTCAGCCCAAGAGTTTGAGGTTGCTGGGAGCTATGACGCCACTGCACTCTACTGAAGGCAACATAGTGAGACTCTATCTCAAAAAAAAAAAAAGTAGGTCACTGGCCCCATATACAGAGGGTGGTGGCTTCAAACCTGGCCCTGGCCAAACTGCAACAAAAAATAGCCAGGCATTGTGACAGGCACCTGTAGTCCCAGCTACTCTGGAGTCTGAGGCAGAAGTGCCTAATCCCAGGAGTTGGAGGTTGCTGTGAGCTGTGACGCTTTGGCACTCTACTGAAGGTGATAAAAGTGAGACTCTGTCTCAAAAAAAAAAAAAAAAAAACCCTTCAGACGAAAGAGGAAGAGGGAATGGGGTGGATGGAGACAAGGGTGAGAGTGAGACTAAGTGTCATCTGGCTACTGAGGGGAAGCAGACCGTGGGAGGCAAAGAGCCAGAGAGTGGGGAGGCAACCACGGGGGTGGTAGGTCAGGTACACTGTGTATCAGAGTTTTGTGTAATCAGGGGCCTGTGATTCAGTGTTCCCAAGGCACATCTTGCTAGCCAGGGATGGTGGCTGCAGTAACTAATGGCCACCCCCCTCCCCACAATGATAAGGCTGATAACAATGCTCAGTATGTGCCTGACCCCAGTCCATGGTTTGTGTGTAAACTTGACAATAACCCTATGGAGTAGGTACTGTTATAATCGTCTTCATTTTACATATGTGGACACTGAGGCATGGAGAGGTGAAGTGACTTGCTCAGGATCACACAGATGGCATTTAAATCCAGGCATTAACTCCAGAGCCCATGCTCTTAACCACTAAGATATACTCCTCCCAGTCTTTTTTTCTCTTTTTCTTTTTTTTCTTGAGACAGAGTCTCACTATGTCGCGCTAGGTAGAGTGCTATGGTGTTACAGCTCACAGCCACCTCAAACTCTTGGGCTTAAGGAGCTGCCTCAGCCTCCCAAGTAGCCGGGACTACAGGCACCCGCCACAATGCCCAGCTATTTTTGTTGTTTGGCAGGCCCAGGCTGGGTTCGAGCCCACCAGCCCTGGTGTATGTGGCCAGCACCCTAGCTGCTGCGTTACAGGTGCCGCCATTCTTCCTAGTCTTTGTACTGTAGCCTTGTTCTCATTTAATTGTATTGTCCTTTTTTTTTTTTGAGACAGAGCCTCAAGCTGTCGCCCTGGGTAGAGGGCTATGGCGTCACAGCTCACAGCAACCTCCAACTCTTGGGCTTAAGCAATTCTCTTGCCTCAGCCTCCCAAGTAGCTGGGACTACAGGTGCCTGCCACAATGCCCAGCTATTTTTTGGTTGTAGTTGTCATTGTTGTTTGGCAGGCCCCGGCTGGATTCAAACCCACCAGCTCTGGTGCATGTAGCTGGCACCTTACCCACTTGAGCTAAAGGACCCGAGCTTAATTGTATTGCCCTTTATTTTCATTTCATTTTTGCGACAGAGTCTCACTTGTTGCCTGGGTGGAGTGCTGTGGTGTCATAGCTCACAGTAACCTCAAACTCTGGGCTGAAGAGAGCCTATTGTGTCAGCCTCCCAACTACCTGTGTCTACAGCCTCCTGTCACAATTCCTGGCTATTTTTAGAGACAGAGTCTTACTCTTGCTTAGGCTGGTCTTGAACTCCTGACCTCAAGCAAAGTACCCCCCTTGGCTTCTCAGAGTGCTAACATTGCAGGAGTTAGCCACAGCCACCTGCTGTATTGCCCTTTGAATTAGATGTCTCAGAGGACTGTGAGCAGACACTAACACCTTAGTATGTATTAGTCAATCTCTTCCCATTACTGAAGAATAATAATCAATACTATGGTTTATAGGGACACTATAGTATAGGAATTAAATATTTTGGCTCTGGAGTCATAATGCCCAAGACTGAAGCCCAGCACCATCATTTTGCAGCTAGTGACTTTTGGAAAGTGACATCACTAATCTGGGCCTCAGTTTCCTCATCTGTGAAGTCCCTATGTCCCAGATGAGGATACTGAGAGACTTAACACATGGCACACCCAGGAATTTAGAACCTGGGTCTTAAGCACATACCACCCCCACAAAGATGAGGAACCAAAAACAGGTTCTGTGAGAGGGAAGTGGAAATAGTCCTCAAAGTTCAAGTGGGGTTTTCTGGTATATAGGCTTCGGCAGTGGGATGCCAAGAGGAGCAATTCATTCTTTCTTGACATTTCTATGCATTCGTGTGGAGGAAAGGGGGCACTGAAAGCCTTTGAGGTCTATCTGCAGAAGGAACAGCAAGGTCACCTAAAGGACAAGCCTAGGCACTCCTCAACGTCCCTCCCTTTGAAAAGCATCTTTTCCTCCTGCCAGATGGGAGCTCAGACTCCTGGATTGGGTGCCTGATCCAGGTGGGCAGCTGGATGGCACAGGGCCGGGATGGGAGCCTAGGGCCTACCTTCAGTCAGGACAGGTTAGATGGGAGATGTGCTTTGTCCTAGGGTGAAATATCCCAGAAGATATGCCCCGGTTCTGGCCCCACCCCAAGCCTAAGCACTGCCACAGCCCCACTCCACCTCCTGATGGCACATAACTGGGACCACAAGTATAACCAGATCTGTTATTCAAATGTTGAAATACTTCCACAGTTTTCAGTTAATCTCCACCACCCACCTCTGATGGCCTAGTCCCTCTCCCTGGGACTCTCCAGACCTCCCATGCCCCAGTGTAACAGAATTAATCCTGGTTTGGTAGGGGGCTTCCCTGACCCAGGGGCACGTTGTCCATCCTGATTAGCGGATAGTCCTGCCACTATCTATATTTGCCTGGCTCTTCCCTAATATCAATCCCTCCACCCACAAGTTCAGAGTCTTCAGACAGGGGTATCCATTTCATACAACTCCTATGCATCCTTCAAAGCCCTGCCTTAATGCTATTTCAGGAAGCCCTCCCTGATTTCTTTACCATCCCAAGAATGAGCAACTTCCTTCCCAGCCAGGGCTCTCTAGTATCTTACACCATTCAGCACACTTTGCTCTAATCCTCTACTCTCAGGCCTTTCTCCATGCTAGTGAGTGAGCACCTTCAGGCCAGAGACCACCTTATGCTCATCTCTGTAACCTCAGTAACAATGGCCTTGCCAAGCACACAATAACCACCCAATAAATGTCAAGGGATGAATGAACGATTTGTTTGTAGTGTGATGACTTGTGTTGTGATTATCAGCCACATTTGGTCATGTGCATCTCCTCTGGCCCAGGGCTCTGGGCTGTCATTCCTGCAGGAGCCCTGATCACCACCCACACTCAGGGTCCCTGCTGGCTGGGACTGGGCCCAGCCTGGGGGGAGGTGAGGACAGGATGTGAGTCCTGAGGGCGCAGGGTCAGCAGGGCCTGTTCTCATGCTCTCTGGCCGAGGTGGAGTGATTCTCCATCTGGCAGGACCAGCTGTGGTACTGGGACATGAAGACACAGCAGGAGGAGGGAGATTGTAGCTGGGGGGAGCTTGGGGGAAGTCCATAGTAACCAGGGAGAAGAACAACAGCCACGCGGTGTCATTGTTACAGAAACATTAAATACAACTTATTAACAAGCTGGGTGGCGTTGGGGGCAGAGTAGAAGGGCTGCAGAAGTGGGAGGTCAGGGGCGTGCAGTCCGGGCCCGGTCCTGGAGGGGGCTCAGGCTGCCGTCGTGGGAGGGGCTGGGCTGGCAGAGGCCAGGCTGCTTGTGGAGGCCGCGCAGCTTCACCAGCAGCTCCTGGGTGAAGTCCTGAACATGGGGTGGGGGGTGGGGGTGCTGAGGACACAGGAGTAGTGGGAGCACCCCCGTCCCGGTCCAGCTCAGTCCCTCTGCCCTGGGTCCCTCCTTCTGCTCTCTGAGCAGTGGTATTAGAGGTTATAGAGAAGAAAGTGAGGGAGAGAAAGAGAGACAGAGATGGGGAAAGAGGGAGCCAAGAGGAGAAAGAGACAAAGGGAGAGAAAGATGCGGGGAAGTGACAGGAGCAAATGAGGAGAGAGGAAAAGAAATGGAGAGGGGCAGAGACCCAGAAACAGAGACTGAGACACAGAGGGAGAGAAAATCAGAGAAACACTAGAGACAGAACAGAGGGAGGGTCACACAGGGACAGAGAAGGAGACAGAGACGCAGAGAGACCAGGAGAGTCCCCAGAGATAGAGGCCTGATGTGGTTCCAGGGTAAGACAGACACACAGTGACGTTTGTCCCTCAGGCTGCCCAAAGCTGGTTAGAGAAACATGAATATTTTTCCCTTTTAAAGCAGGGAAGGAAGTGGGAGGGTTGGGCTGTTCAGCTTTAGGGCCTGGAAGGATGGGGAGGCCCTTCTGGGGTAGGGAAGGGAGCCCTGGGGTACTGGAGGCAGAAACGAGGGACAGACTGGCATCCTGGCCCAAGGAAGAAGCACAGCAGAGAGGCAGCAATAGGAGCAGATGGGGGAGCTTCCCAGTGGGTGGGAGATAATGGAGCCCCAGCAGCAGATGGGGAGAAAAGGGAAAGAAACACCAGGAAGATCACAAAGGACATCCCTGGAGACCAGAAAGAGCTGTTAGCGAGACAGGGCTCTCCAGAGTTCTCTCTGCCTGTCCCAGGCATGGCCAGCTTCATCCTCCCCTATCAGGGGACAGAGGGCCAGAACTGGGTCTGTATTTGGGGAGGGAAAACTCACCTCAGTGGGGCTTGTGCACGACTTCAGGAGTCCCTAAATACCCCCCCCAAAAGTAAGTGATTAATACCTACTCCCCTCCAGCCCCTTCTTTCTCCCCCAAAGCCCCAAGGCAGCAAGATAAATGGAAGTCAGACTCCAGGGTGGACTGCCTACCTGGCTTCAAGGGAAGGAACACATCTGAGGGTCTTAGCTATTGAGGGCAGGGTTAAGTCACTAGATTCAGAGAGGAGGAGAAGGTCACACAGCATAAGCTATAAGAGCAAGGACACAGCAGCCAGACTGCTTGGTTTGGCTCCCAGCTCTGCTCCTTCAAAACTGGGTGACCCTGGACAAGTAATTAAACCTCTCTGGGCCTCATTTTCCTCATCTGGAAAATGGAGATAAATAAAAGTGCCTACTTTACAGAATTTTATGAAGATTAAATGAATTAATAAGTGAAAAGCAATTGAACCAATGCATGGTGTATAGTAAGTGCTCGAATCCATGTTAACTATTGCTGTTATTTTTAGGGAGATGCGAAGTAAAGGATTAGGGGGTGGCTTTCCCCCACCTACCTGGATTTTCCGGCTTCTCTCATCTTCACTCTCTAATTCCAATAATTCATCAATGTTGACCTCATCAGGCATGTCTGCCTCCTAAGGTGAGGAAGGGAGGGGAAGTTAGGGTCCCCTTCCCCTCCTCCCTTGCCTTTGTCCAGGGCTCCCGAGGTGCCCCACTGGTCCCAGAGCCCAGCTGGCGGGTTCTGGAGCAACAGAGTGGCAGTCAGGGACAGCACCACCAAGGCCAGAACATCTGGGTGCTGGGGGAGGGGTGACAGATGGATTGAGGGAGGCCTGGGGCCCTGTACCAGCCTGATGCTGGGCCTCTGGGCCCTGGGAGCCCTGGAGCTGGCACAGGTCTTTCCCCTTGGCCCCAATTCCCACAGAGGAAAACAGGCCTGGTGGAGTTTTGGAATGTTCAATTCTGGGATTCAGGAGAGGGGCTGGCTTCTGCCCTTTCAAGGAAAAGTCTTAGCACTAGGTGTGGGGGAGGAGAGCCTGGCAGGCTGGAGCCTGCTGGGGCGGCCCCTTTCCCCAGGGGATAGGAAAGGAGGGGAGGGTTGAGCCCAGCCCCAAGGCCAAAATGCAGCCTGATGCCTGATGAGTCCATGGGGGCAATCACCCAGACCCCCCAGGGTGAGTGGGTGGGAAAAGTCCTGTGTCCAACATTGAGTGGCCAAGAAAGGGGATGGCTAGTGTGTCCTTTAGGGGCAGTGGCCCAAATACAGGCTGGCTCAGTACCCTTGCCATGGACAGGCCCCAGCTGTTGGAGCAAGAGATCCCTGTGGTTACAGATTCTTTCCTCCCTGAACCAAAGTCCTGCTATCAGCTTCAGGGCTGGGTGGATGGGGGGTGGGGGGGTTCATGAGTGGTCACGCCTGTGTGAATTTCTGCTCATGGGCCAGAACCTGATGCCAAGGGTCCAGGGCAGGCTGAAGGTGCAGAGGTATGTGGCACCTATGGCCCTACAGGTGTGAGGTCTGTGGCTCTGGTTTGGGTACGTCTGCTGGGTTGTCATGTGACTAGGGCTAGCTATAGCGCCCATCATCTGGAGATGACCTCATAGAACACCACCTCCCACTAGCAAGTGGATTTGTTCACCTGTATGTATGAGCCTACATGTGTGCTTGTCCCTGTGTAGAAAGGGTATGACTTTTAGCATTGTCACAGTGGGACTCCTGTATTTGGGCATGTCTGTGCACTCCTATGACCCTCAGGTACCTAGGACAGTGTTTGGCAGTACTATGTGTGTCGTAGAATGTGTCACTTCAACTAGAGAGCTCAAGTAATGGAGCACCTGTGTCTGCCTGTAGCCTACACAGCAACAGACATAGCTGCAGTTTATGCTCTTGTGGCCCATGGGCAGCTGTAGCTCCCATCATTGTGTGTCCTTGGGTGCCTACAGCTTGCGCAGTTTTACGCCTGGGAGTATGTATATTCTCTGTTGTTTCATGTCTCTGAGTGGCTGTAGCACCACCCATTATTTTTGTAGGTGGCCATAGCTTTTTCTTTAGGAGATAACGGATGGTTGTAACTTGAGTCACTTTATATCCCAGGGTAGCTATGGCAGCTGGTATTGTCTATATGTCACAACAGCTTGTACTCACTGTGTATCTGTGACCAGCTGTAACTTGAGTCATTTCCTGTTTGAGTGTAGTTGTAGTGTTGTGCATCTGGACATGACTGGGGCCTTATTATGTCCATGGGTGGCTGTGGCTCTAAGTGAGTCCCTGTGAGTTTGTGTATGGCTGCTGCCTCTGCGACTGCCGGCCGCTTCCTTCACTGTGCACAGACGTTTATGCTATTGCTTCCCCTGCTGTGCCTCTGCATGTGCTGTATGTCTCCCATCACCATGACTGTGTTTGTCCCCAAAACATTCCTGCCCCCTACTTTTTCTGCAGACATGGTGCTTCCCGCTCCCCAAGTTTTCCTCCTCACCCCCATATGTTAAACCCTTCCCAGGTATTTGGCCACATCTCTGGGGACCCGTGTGTGTGTGTTTGTATCTTTGTCCACAAGCTGAGTGCCACTGGGTGCAGCCAGCCAGCCACTGGGGCGTGTGTCCTCTTGTGCACACCAAGCCACAAGTACACCAGCAAGCGTGCACGGAGACCCCAAGAGCATATGGCCCTGACTCCCAGATGCTGTCTGTCCGAACCTCCCCACGGCCCCACACCTCCCTTCTGCCTCACCCTGCCGCGGTACAGCTCCTCCAAGCGCCCGTCGATCCACTTCTCCACATCCAGCCGCCGCTGCAGCTCCCGCCGGTCATACTTGACGGTGACACGCGCGTGTCGTTTCTGCAGCCCCCCGGGACTGCCCCCCGGACCACGGGCCCGCGAGGGAGACTGCAGTTTGCTCAGCACCCGCTTGCCCAGCCTCTGAGCTGCCATCCCGGTGCTGGGCCGCCCCGGCGCCGCGCTGTGAGCCTTCGCTGGGCGCCCAGGGAGCTTCTTACGGGCCGGGGCGGGGCCGGCCGGGGGCGGGCACTTAGGCTTGCCGGGACCGGCCCCGCCCCTCTCTTCCTGGGCCTCAGTTTCCCCATCTGCGGCGTGAGGGCGGGCAGGCCGGGGCGCTGGCTTGAAGCTAGCAGTCCTGTCCCATTCAGGTATGGGCAGGGTCCGAGAGTCTCCTGGATCCCAGGGAAGGGCAGAGTTTGGGGACAGACACTAGGAGGGAGACTGGGTCTGTCTGTGCCCTCTGGTGGCCGCGGGAGACGGTGCAGGAGCCCCCGCGCAGCCTTTGCTGCAAGGGAAGGTCAAAACCACAGTACTTGAACTTTGACTAGTTCTTTCATTCTTTTATTTACCCATCCATCCATCCATCCATCCATCCTCTGTTCATTCTATTCAACAAATAGGCCGGGCATGGTGGCTAACGCCTGTGTTCCTACCACTCTGGGAGACCAAGGGGGAAGGATCTCTTGAGGCCAGGAGTTCAAGACCAGCCTGAGCAAGAGCAAGACTTTGGATCTACTAAAAAGTAGAAAAAATTGCTCGGCACAGTGGTCTTTTTGTTGTTGTTGTTGTTGTTGCCTGTAGTCCCAGCTCCTTGGGAGGCCGAGGCAGGAGGATCACTTGAGCCTCAGAGTTTGAGATTACAGTGAGCTGTGATGACACTGCACTCTAGTCTGGGCCACAGAGTGAGACTCTCACTCAAAAAACAAAACAAGGGCGGCGCCTGTGGCTCAGTGGGTAGGGCGCAGGCCCCATATACCGAGGGTAGTGGGTTCAAACCTGGCCCCAGCCAAATTGTAACAAAAAATAGCTGGGCGTTCTGGTAGGCGCCTGTGGTCCCAGGTACTTGGGAGGCTGAGGCAAGAGAATCGCCTAAGCCCAGGAGTTGGAGGTTGCTGTGAGCTGTGAGGCCACAGCACCCTACCAAGGGCAATAAAGTGAGACTCTGTCTCAAAAAACAAAACAAATGGCTCGGTGCCTGTGGCTCAAGTGGCTAAGGCGTCAGCCACATGCACCTAAGGTGGTGGGTTCGAGTCCAGCTCGGGCCCGCCAGACAACAATGACGGCTGCAACCAAAAATGGTGGGGCATTGTGGTGGGCACCAGTGGTCCCAGCTACTTGGGAGGCTGAGACAGGAGACTCGCTTGAGCCCAGGAGTTGGAGGTTGCTGTGAGCTGTGATGCTACAGCACTCTACCAGGGGGACAGCTTGAGGCTCTGTCTAAAAAAAAAATTTTTTTTTAACTTGTGTTTTGAAGGACATCATGAAAACAGTGAGAGGACAACTAACAGAATGGGAGAAAAAAATGGCAAATCACGCATCTTGAAAGGTCCTGACATCTAAAATAAATAACTTCCTACAAATAACAAAAGACATTTTTGTCTTTAACCCTATTAAAAATGGACAACAGGGGCAGCACCTGTGGCTCAAAAGGGTAGGGCACTGGTCCCATATGCCAGAGGTAGCGGGTTCAAACCCAGCCCCAGC